TTTATTAATATTTAGAATTTTTTATATATATATTTTCAGTTTTCATTTTAATATACATTTTATTAATTAATAATTACAACTTAAAATTAAAACTTAAATGTTTCAATCTTTATTTTTATTTTATTCCATTCCAGCTTGTTTTCAATTAATGGAAATAATTTTTAATAGTTTTGGTTTTAGTTAACAATAACAACACTGATGATGACTCAATGAAACACAGTAACAATCCTAACAGCTTTCACAGATTCTGTGGAAACGGCTTCCACGTTTAGAACTTCTATATTTAATCGAACAATGTTCCTGATTTAAAACACATTTTAAGATTCTGGGTGGTTGCTTAGTAGCCCAAGTCAAGATAGCCCACCGTTCAAGAATGTGATATTCTGGTCTCTAGATATGACTGTGGTCCCTCTTTCAGTCAGTGAAATTGTTTTGGCCTTTTTGTCATCTGCCAAGTGAAGATCTTTAGTCAGATCACTTAGTAATATGGTAAAAAAAAGAAGCGTAAATTAATACCACCAAAGTTGAATACTAAAACTCCTAAGCATAGCCTTCAAGGGCATCACTTAAAAATATAAAACAAGGTTTTATGGAGGTCTGCTGTCCCGCAGAGTTTAGCTCCAAACCTGATCAACATCACATGCCTATAATAACTCTCTTGTAATGCTGAAGAACATGATTTGCTTGCTCTGGTGTGTTTGATTAGAGTTTAATTTAAACTCTGCAGGACAATGGACCTCCAAGGCCAGATTTGATGAACCCTGAAAAAATAAAACATGAATATTTCTGGCTCTAAATTCAAAGCTGTTTAAAATTTTGCAAGCAATTGCCTCAGCCGAGAACACAATGTTGTGTACACACAGCAAGCCATCAGTTCTCAACAATATATTAAGACCAACTGTTTTGAGTTGTTTTGTCTATCTCTTTTGTTTATATTGATTTTATTACAATCACAGTGGATTTTCATTGTTCTAACATAAAAATTAGGGTTAATCCTTTGTTTGGCTTGGTGAAAGTGCAGTCCGTAAGTTTCCAGGCAAATCAACTTCTCCTGTATGCTGAGATGGTCTGGTTCTGTTTTGATCTACTGGCTCACATCAATGGCTGATTGCGTGTGCACCTTTGATGTACAAAGAGAGTTTGATGTGACTTCACCAAACACTGGCTGACCTTTTTTTTTTTTGCTGATCGTGAATACCACATGCCAATTTGTTCAACCATCATGTCATTTGATGTTTTCATCAAGCGTCAGAATTATTTTACCATGCCTGCCAAACTCTCCGCTCACTCCTCTCGTAACTCTCTGTGTTGAATGGAAAAGACTGTCTGCATCCATTTCTTCACGTCTGTAATCTCAAACTCACGTCTTTGTTGTGTGTCCAGGCTTTTGCTTAATCTGAAACCGCCATCGTCTCCATGAGCATGTTTTATATGAAATGCTGTTTTCAGAGTATCCGGTTTACAATTTTGGATGTCTTTTGGGACTGTGATGGACTGTGGTAACTTTGTCTTTCTCTTTGTCTTCTGATTGGCTGGATTTTCACCACAGGAAACAAGGGCAAGTACTGCACCCTTCTCTTCTCAGACCTTTGTGTTTTATTTCATTCATCAGTTGTTGTATCATTTATTTTCAGTGTCATTTGCATGCATCTATTTTTATCTTTTTTTTCTTTTCCCAGAGCGGTCATGTCACATCTGTTTGTGTGTTTTATCAAAATAATGTCACTTCTCAAAAGTGCATTTCATTTTTTTTTTTTTTTTTTAAATCTATAAACATTCATTCTGCATGCAGTTAATTACTGCTTTTGTTTGTTTAAGATGCCAGCTTTTCCTGTAAAACGTGCTCAGTCAAATCATCTGATATGGGTTTTTCAATGGACAATGCTGATACCAGTAACTAGAGATTAGTATGGCTGCTAAAATGCTGATATGTTTCTTTTTTTTCTTTTCCCAGAGGGGTCATTTCCCATCTGTTTGTGTGTTTTTTCAAAATAATGTCCCTTCTCAAAAGTGCATTTCATTTTTTTTTTTTTTTTTTTAAATCTATAAACATTCATTCTGCATGCAGTTAATTACTGCTTTTGTTTGTTTAAGATGCCAGCTTTTCCTGTAAAACGTGCTCAGTCAAATCATCTGATATGGGTTTTTCAATGGACAATGCTGATACCAGTAACTAGAGATTAGTATGGCTGCTAAAATGCTGATATGTTATATCCCTGTTGACGAAAATCATCTTAAACCAGCCTAAAATGGTTTGATGGTCTCCCATGCTGGTCTTTTGACTGGTTTAAGAGGGGTTTTGGGCTGTGGATAACAGCTAGACCAGCTGAAGACCGGCTTGGCAAGGCTGCAAGACCATCTTAAACCAGTTTAGGCTGGTCTTGTGCATGTTTTTTTCAGCAGGGAAAGACTACTACAATTGATTTAACATGCCAGCTTCTTTTGTAAAACGTGTTGGGTTTTTCAATGGCCAATGCTGATACCAATAACTAAAGATTGGCATGGTTGCTACAATGCTGGTGTGATTTCCCTTTTGGGAAAAAATCATTTTAAACCAGCCTAAAATGGCTTGACTGTCTTTGTTGGTCTCCCATGTTGGTCTTTGTACTGGTTTTAGAGAGTTTGGGCCTGTGGATAACAGTTAAACCAGCTTAAGACCAGCTTGGCAAGGCTGCAAGACTATCTTAAACCAGTTTAAGCTGGTTTTAGGCATATTTTTACAGCAGGGAAAAACTAGTACATTTGAATTAAAGCAGTTGAGATCTACATATACAATGAAATAACATTTTGTTATGCCATGTTTACTAGTATTTCACTTGGATAGTTCTCAACTCAACTCAACTTTATTTATATAGCACCAATAAAAACAATGATTGTTGACCAAGATACTGTACAATCAATCAAATATCAACAACATTAGCACTCAGAACAACATAAATTACAGCACAGAACAGAGCTGGCACACCACAATTAACTACAGTTAAAAGCCAGAGAAAAAAAGATCGGTTTTGAGTTTGGCTGTAAACGCATTCAGTGTAGAGGCAGTTCTAATAGAAACCGGTAGGCTGCTCCAGAGTTTCGGAGCAGCAACAGCAAAGGCTCGGTCGCCTCTTAATTTCAATATAGCCTGAGGAACGTTTAATAGTCTCTGGTTGGAAGACCTAAGAGACCTTCCAGGATTGTGAGCAGATAATAAATCAGACAGATATACAGGAGTTAACCCATTCAGAGCTTTAAAAACCAGCAGCAGGACTTTAAAATCTATTCTATAACGAATTGGGAGCCAATGCAAAGATATTAATGCTGGGGTTATGTGCTCTCGTTTACGCACACCAGTAAGGAGCCTAGCAGCAGCATTTTGTACCATTTGAAGTCGATTAAGAGATGCTTGATTAATACCAATGTAAAGGGAATTACAGAAATCGAGCCTCGTTGAAATAAAAGCATGAATGACCCTTTCAAAGTCCTTATAAGAAAGAAATGGTTTCACTTTAGCTAAGACTGAGATGGAAAAAACTGGTTTTGACTACTGTACTAATCTGTTTGTCAAATTTGAGAGCACTATCAAAATAGACCCCCTAATTCTTCACTACTGGTTTCACACAGGAAGACAAATGGCCAAGATTCAAGCCAGGGGTGCTAGCAACTTCTGATGTTTCAAAACTATAATGTCAGTTTTGCCTTCATTAAGGTGAAGAAAATTTAGGGACATCCAGGCCTTAACATCAGCTAGACATGCCAGCAGAGCATCCAAACCCTTGTTATTAGATTTCAGGGGCAGATAGATTTGGGTATCATCTGCGTAACAATGGAAGGAGACACCATGTTTCCTAAAAATCGACCCCAGGGGAAGCATGTACAAAGAGAATAAGATTGGAGCGAGAATAGAGCCTTGAGGGACACCGCACGTAAGGGGAGCTGCATCTGAAGTAAATTCACCAACACTAACAGAGAACCTTCTATTGTTAAAATAGGATTGAAACCATTTGAGAGCATTACGCTGAATGCCCACCCAGTGCTCCAAACGAGAAATCAAAACGGAGTGGTCAATTGTATCAAATGCCGCCTTCAGATCTAACAGCACTAACACAGCAGATCTGGCAGCATCAAGAGTCAGTAAAATATCATTCAGAACTTTAACCAGTGTTGTTTCTGTGGAATGGTTTTTCCTAAAACCTGATTGGAACACTTCGAAAATATTGTTATTAAATGGAAAGCTCTGTAGTTGGTGAAACACTATTTTCTCTAAAAATTTTGACATAAAAGAGAGATTTGAGACTGGCCTAAAATTAGTCAGCACTGTCGGATCTAAATTAGGCTTTTTAAGAAGTGGATGTACAATGGCGTACTTCATGTCATCTGGAACCATTGCCATTTCAAGGCAGCTGTTCATAATCTTAAGAACAGTAGGCCCAATCACCTCAAAAATATGTTTAAAAAATCGAGGAGGAAGAATGTCATAGGAAGATCCATAGGGTTTAAGCTGGTTTACAATATCTTGTAGAGCAGGCAGAGTTACAGGCTCAAACTGACTCAAGATGCTAGTAAAGAGTGGAGGGACAGAGGGATCTTGACAAGGAGAGGGAATATCTAGCCTAATATCTTGTCCACAAAAAAATTAAGGAATTTGTCACACATAGCCAGAGACTCTGTAGGGAAGAGTTACCATCTATACCAGTCTAATCTCAGAATTACTAAATATTGACATAGTTTTAAATGTTTTCAATATGCTGTCTAAACTTATTTAAATCTCTCTCTCTCTCTCTCTCTCTCTCTCTCTCTGTAGCCTTTGAAACCATGCAGCAGGAGAAATTTGAGGAATATGGGTACACCTTTATTGCACCCAGGTAACACACACACACAGAGCAGAAACCGCAGACCTCCCACAGGGTTTAGTCGTGACAGGTTTATGTGGACTGTATCTAGACTCCATTGGTCTTTGAAGGCCTATAAATTCACACCTTCAGACCCAAACTTTACTCCCCTTAACAATGGATCCCACAGACACGGCAGCGGAAATGCTTGGTGAAAACGTCACACTACTTGAATACGCAGGCCTCACTGTGGTCATCAAACTGATTGTGTGTTTTTCTGTGATTAAACACTAACAATGTTTTTCAGGGAATACTGCAAGGACCTCAAAATCTCATCCAACAACACCCAGTTTCTGATGGACTTCAATGAGTATATTGACAGGAAAACTCCAAATGATCCTCTGTGTGAGTGCAAACCTGAACACATTTATCTATCTTAAAGTGTTAGCGCTGTCCCACAGTGCAATAAGCTCAACTTGACCTTCCTTTTCTTGTGTGATGACTATAAGCTGTGCTTGCTTATGTATTTATTAGTGCTGTCAATCGATTAAAAAATAACTAATCACATTTGTTTCTGAAATTAATCACAAATAATCGTGATTAATCCCACTTAACATTAAAGTTTTTAAATATACTATTATATTGCAATAATTTCACATTCAATCTTTAAATTAATGTAGAAACAACTTAAAGACAATATATTTTTAATAGTTGTTTAATGGCATCTTTTTTTATTTGCCTGAAGGTGATTATCGTTGATGCCAATACTACTGATGTCTCTATGAAATTATAAGCTACGCAATATCGCGTTCATAATCGCAAAGATTATGAACGCGATATTGCATAGCTTGTCAGTGAACTACGGCTCTGTGTATTAAATGCCACTCCATCTGAAAGCACGTGATGGAGATTTACTACTAATCACAGAACCGGCTTTACTGACGAGATGCGCATGACAATCGCATGCAATTTATCATGCAGCCCTAAATATATATATATATATATATATATACAGTATATATATATATATACACTGTATATATATATTCAGTGTGTAGCACAGAATGCAGTAAAACAGTATTCAGTATGAATGTTAAATTCAAATGAACATAGAAACACTCTCAGTGAACTGTCTTTTGTTTATAGTTAAATGTTCAAGTGTTTTATGAATAATTTTTGCGGTGATATTAAACCTGATGTAATCAAACCAACTGGACATCAAAGTTTCAAATACTTTTTCAGCCCCTTGTATAACACCACCTTTTGCAAACACAAACCACTGTGGTTATTTTTGAAAACATGATGTAGTGATATCAGAGGTGAGGGGGCTCAGATTACTCTCTTTTAGTGGCTGAGTCAGGTTGATTCCCGCTCAAATTATGTCAGCGTGTGTGGCGGTCCTGCCGTCTGTGAAGGTGACCCCTGCCAGCGCTCTGTTTAATCACACTGTAATTGATTAGTCTGCTCTGTAATGACTCCAGCGCTGTCATCCTAATGTTCTTACCGATCATGACTCACTCTTTTTAGTAAAGAGATGTTATACAGCGCTCACGCACGAACACACCCAAAGATCTTTGCTTAATAAGCATTATTTTTCTCCTGAGAAGTAAGAGAGGTTTGTGTGTATATATGTATATGTATATATGTTTATGTAGAATTCTGATTGGCAACAGACCTATATATATATATATATATATATATATATATATACACCAGACTGACAAACAATTTCTGTTTTCAATTTTCTAGTTTCATTTGTTTCATTTCAACAGTTTTGTGTAAATGGTTGTCACAGCCATGAAGATTTCTGCAGTTTTGCAGTTAGTTTCCACATTCTAGGTCGACAGGGAGTGGAGTTTGAACATGGGAAAATCCTGTTTTCCATGACATAATCCAAAACTATCGACTATAAAGACTTTCCTTTCTCTTTGTCTGTATTGTTCAGGTAATCTCACTCTTGTAAACCGGCTGCTGCTGGACGCCGGTCTCACAGCAGACCTTGTCAATGTCTGGAAGGATCAGAATGTGTAAGTTTAGAGCAAAACACACACATGGAACAACATAAAACACTCATCTACATCTGTGTGAAATGTCTCGAGTTTTCAAGTACAAAGATCTCTGCAGACCAGAGAGACGCCTTTGTATAACTGCTGAACACAAAGCTCTATTTAGAGTCCTGACATGAATAAGACTGCTGTCTTATTGTCGAAAGCAAACTCGAGAGTCTAGCAATTATAACCAGGATTAAAGAACCCGACCATGTGGGAGTCCAAAAACACAGTACTTAATGCATGCGACACATTTCAAAATTGTGTTTTCAATTAAACAAATGGTGTTTCAATTAAATTTGTACATTGAGGAATGACCCAAATATTCCATTGTTTTATTTTTTTTTTTAATTTGGAGGCTGAATGTGTTATTAGTTACTCGGAATGTTCTTGAAATAATTGAATTTAAAGTACAAGGCTAGAATACCTAAACAAAACACTCACAGGTGTAAAGCTAGTTACAGCTAGAGCTAGAGTTGCTTGGTTTCTGTTTGTGGTTTTTAGGAAAATTGAAAAGTTTTTTTTTATTTCATTAGAGATGGAGTTTTGGCCCAGTTTGTGGCTACAGATGGAGGCATTACACGTGTGTATCCTAAAAGGTAAGTTCCATTCACAGTTGTGTGAAATATGTGCACTTCTCCATCCCCATGTGTGCAAGTGTGTGTGAGAGATGCTAAATTCTTTCCGATCTTTCCTCTGTCTGCAAGCCCCGCAGGGGTCTGCGGTTGAGACTGAAAGAAAGAGTGAGAGAGGATGTTTCTGGTACAGAGTGACTCTTTTGAGATTTCTTATGGGAGCCATGTGCAGCTCTCGCTTTCTTTCTCCTGTCTTTATTAGCTTAAATCTATAACAGCAAGTGGTTGAGTTCATAAACTTACTCTGGTGGTGACGTGGTGTAAAACAGCAGGACGGTGTTTAAGAAGCTACAGTGGTGCACTTATTCGCAGTTCATATTAACTCACCTCGTTTCCAAAAACAAAATACCTGTTTTCTTTGTCTTTTTTTGGAGCTTCACAGAACCAACCACAATCCATGTGCGTTTTCTGGCATTGAGCAGCATGTACATACTGCTAATCATCATCCTTTTTTTGTTTCACTGGGGGAAATATAAGGTTTGATTGACATGGCTGAGATTTTTATCACTTGTCGCTTTAAGATTCTCCTCTTCCTCAAATGTTTGGCATGTTGTATTGTTATTACTTATCATAGATATTTGTGTCTCATTGCTGACTAACTTTAGAAATAATATTTTTTTCCCACAATCATATATTTTGCTTTTTCTTTGCTTGAACCTTAGATTCATAAATGCAGTCTAATTGACTTTATAGGGTGTGGCTTTATTTTATTTTATTTTCAGTATTTATTTCCAGTAAAATAATTCCTTGATATGCTGTATTATTAATACTTATCTTGGAGATTTATGTCACCACTCTGAGATTTATGTCTGCACTTTAAATTAATTTATTAATTGCTTGATATTTAGTTTATTTTATTTTATTTATAGATGTGAGCCTCAGCGATTTAATTTACACAGTTATAATTAAACTGAATTTCTTTCTTTTTATTGTATATGTAGGAAAGTGAACAAACATTCAAGTAAAAAGGTTTAATATTTAAACATTTGTGTTTTCTTTCTTAAATGATTCTAGATAAAAGCAGGATGCCTTTTCTTAATGAAAACCACTCAATCCAGTACAAGGCATTTGATTCTCTGTATGCATTCATGTAGGATTTTTGGGTTATGCATTCTTGAGTTCAGTTGTTGCATTATTTATATTGCTATTGTTTATCATTTTGTTTAAAATGCCTCTTAATCTATTTCTTTCTCTCACTTTTCTCTCTCTTTCTCAGTGCCGGGGAAGAATGGGGTGAAAACTCTGAGACCTATGACTCAAGTTTTTACAAAAGGAGTCTGGACAATGACATATACATCTTCACCGCCCCATACGTCAACAGTAAGAAGCACACTCTTATTCTTTCAGTACACATCCCCTCTCTAACATTTGGATCGATGTGTGCTCTCTTTGGCACACTGCTTTACTAAGACAGCTGTTGATCTACTTGAAATGCGCACCTACAGATCTCCTGCCAAGGTCGAGTAAGCTTATATTACTGGGGGATTACCATTCAATGAGACTACCTCACATTCACGCACGTGTGGTCTGCAGGACTAATACACACACGGTCGAGAAGCACCCATGTGCCAAAACTCAACCCCAGGGGAACGCCTGGTCCTTGTGTTTATGGGAGGTTTTACCATTTAAGTTAATGGTGAACGCAGACTGAAACCCTGATAGATCTCTCAAACATTTCGATATCAGATGTAACATGTCTACCTTGGCAGGTGTTACCAGAAGAATTGCATTAACAGCATTAGGATACTAAAACCATGCCTGTTTGGATTAGTTAAGTGAAATAGAGCAAAGAGGGCCAGTCTGACCTTAAATGCATTTTATTGTTCTGCATTTGTGCTGTCTTCTCTGTTGAAACAGGGAGCAGAGAGTCTGGTTATGAGTCCGGTATCCTTGTCAGTAAAGCAGTGGACTTGGACATTAATGGAGCAAAACTCAAACCTGCTGGTGAGCTCTTAAAAAATACAGCTACTTTACTGTTCAAAAGTTTGGGGTCAGTATGATCTTTTTAGAATTAATATTAATATTTTTATTGACCAAGGAATGCATTAAATTGGTGAAACGTGACAGTAAAGACATTTTATAATGTTATAAAATATTTCTATTTCAAATAAATGCTGTACTTCTATTCATTAAATAATTAAAAAAACTGTTTATGATTCAGCTATTTCTTTTCTTTAATTAATAAAAAGAAATAACCAGTAACATAGAGTAACATAGTGTAAACCTTAGATCCATAAATGCAGTCTAACTGACTTTATAGGGTGTTTTATTTTATTATTATTTTATTTTCAATATTTATTTCCCGTAAAAATTAATTTGTTATTATGCTGTATTATTAATACTTAACTCAAATGTGACAGTAAAGATTTTATCATTTATAATGTTACAAAATATTTCTATTCAAAGAAATGTACTTTTGAATCTTCTATTCATCAAATAATCAAAAAAAAAGTGTCAGTTTCCACAAATCACAGTTTTCAACACTGAGAATAATAATGATTTCTGAAAGATCATGCGACACTGAATACTGGAGTAATGGCTGCTAAAAATTCACTGGAAAACATTTAATTTTATAATATATTCTAATATAAAATACGCATTTAAAATTGTAATAATAATAAAATAAAATTAAAGTTTTTACTGTGATTTTGACCAAATAAATGCAGCCTTGATGAACATTTAAAAAAAATCACAGACCCTAACTTTTGAATGGTAGTGAAAATGTCTTCTATTAAATATTTGGTCGATATAATAAATGTTATAACTGTTTAGCTTTAATAGACCTATATATAGTGAATTATCGAGAATTTCCAACCAGTAGTACAGTTATTTCTCTGTGGTTAAGTAAAAAGGTTTATCTTTAAAAGAAAAAGAAAAAACAGTAATGTCACTGGTATTTAATTTTAACGAATTTGACAAGTTCTTGCGTAAATAATTTTGTTTGTGTTTTAATGATTCATCACTGATGACTAACGAAGGTTGTGACTAATCGTTTGGTCATTCTCTACTGACCCTGACATTGCTTCATCTCATCATCTGAATCTTTTATCATTATATTTGTTGACCTCGCTTGAGTAGGATTTCAACACCGATGACAGTGTGTGTTTTGTGTTATCATACAGTGGTGGGAGTCAAACTCAACGTGTCGGCCTGGATGAACAGCTTCATAAACGCTACCACCAAGAAAAATGTAAGCAGAAATGACCCTCGTTTCCTTATCAGCACATGTGGAAGCTGTTTAGTCACAAACGTAGCCTCTCTAGATGGGCCGATATTGCCGTCTGAGAACGGAGATGAATTGACTCGCTCTAATAAATGTTGTAAAAGACTTGTTTCATGAATTCTTAGCTCTCTCCTCACATAATTTCCTCTCCGCAGTGCAAAGATGAGATCTGCGGGTGCCTCCGAAATGATAAGGTAGGGCGCTGACTGCTTCATGCTGCTTTGACCTCTGTAGCTACTTATCTAAAGCTGCTTTCACTCTCGGTTTCTGATGAATGGCTGGTTTTACTCCTCAGCAAGTGGACTGCGTGATTCTGGATGATGGCGGATTTCTGCTCATGTCCAATCAGGATGAATATATCACACAGGTAGAATATATTTACAAGGCTAATGCCGCAGGTCCAGCAATACTGTGTGCTAACAGTCACACAAAGATGTAGTTTTCATATTCTCACTCGGATGTTTCAGATAGGTCAGTTCTTTGGTGAAGTGGACCCTGTTCTGATGATCACTTTGGTCAATACCTCGCTGTTCTCTTTTAATAAAACCTACGACTACCAATCCGTCTGCGACCCGGAGAGAGAAACTAAAGCTGCTGCCGGACCCCGCTCTATATATGTGGTAAAGTATATGTGTCAGCTTCTTTAAAAACCATCAATGTAGAGGTTTCTGATAGACTTCTGTAATGTGGAAACTAAGTCCAAAATTTTGATTGTTTGTCTAGATTGTGGCATCTATGTTTGTGTGTTTGTTTTTGACAGCCAACGATAGCAGATATGCTGACTGTAGGCTGGTGGGCCTCCACTGCGGTCTGGTAAGAAGAAATAGACACCACTCACTGAGAAACAGACATAGAAAAGGATTGCAGTGTGAAGTGGATGTTCTCATTTTTTTTTCTTCCTTTTAGGTCAGTTTTGCAGCAGCTACTTCTCAGTCTGACTCTCCCAAATATAGTGGGAACAGGTATGTTTCAGAAACAAAACCCAGAAATTCTGTCTCTTCTATTTGCATTCAAGAACTTTGGATTTTTTCAATCAAGAACCTTTTAATTCTTTTTTTTTTTTTTTTTTTTTAAATGAAGGAAATGTTAACTTTTTAATTCTACACAATTAAATGTAAACCCTGTCAACCAAAAAAAATAATTGTGAACAATTTTATTCTAGTGTTAGTGTCTAGTGTAATGTTGTTGTTTTTTACTATATATGTATATGTGTGTAATGATACATAATTTTTTGGTTACACTTTATTTTGAGGTGTCCTTGTTACAATGTAATTATACATTCAAGTACTGAGTAATATTAATTAACTCATGTACTTACTATATGGTTAGGGTGTGGCTTAGTGTTACTTGCATGTTATTATGCATAATTTATTGTTATTATAATAGTTAGTACATGTAACGTGTAACACGGACACCTTAAAATAAAGTGTTAACATTTTTTTTCCTTTTAAAATGTATTTATGTACTGTTTATAATTGTTTATATACATTTATTATTATGTTTCTTATATACATTTATTATACAGTGGGGAAAATATTTATTTGATCCCCTGCTGATTTTGTAAGTTTGCCCACTTACAAAGAAATGAAGGGTCTGTAATTTTTATGGTAGGTTTATTTTAACATATAGAAACCAAAAAAATTCAGAAAAAACACATTATATAAAGGTTAGAAATTGATTTGCATTTCAGTGAGTGAAATAAGTAAAAAAAAATTTTTTAAAAAAGGCAACAAAGGAGTGGCTCAAGAAGAAGCACATTAAGGTCATGGACTGACCTAGC